TGCTTAGTGGATTCACATCTCTACTTTGGTATGTGTATTTAGTTAAAGTTATATAGCATGATACACAAGGTCATGCATTGATTATTCGTCATTGACAAATTTGAAATACTTACTTAGCATCAAGCTATTAGGTCTTATGAGTAAGACATATTATTAAAAGTAACAACATTATTGTATTAAATAGACTTATATTTCAAAACGTAGTATCTTTTTCCGTAGAGACTATTTAGAAGTATACGTTTAATTAAGATATTTATCTTTACCTATGTAGGTAGGCCAGGAACAATTGTCAAAACAGATATTTCATCAGTATTATCGTTTGTTAGATGTGTAACCAATATATCTAAACCAACCCTGTCAATATCACTTGTAATCGAATATACATTTTGTATCAAAGCATCTCCTATAAACACGTTACGACGCAAGAAAGAGCTGACCAGTGTTCTAGGATTTGAAGTGTGGCCATAAAACTGCAACGCGAAAGTACTGCACCATCCACTTGCACTGATTTATAATTTTCCGTCCATTTCAGACAAAGCGAATATCGAATGGTGTAAATAAAACGGACCGTTAGCGCCGAACAAAGCGCCGCCCCATGCGAAGTTAAGTGTAGTTATCATCTATCAGTGCGCGCTGTCAAAGCCTCACCGGCACTAAGGTGGCCATAACAATAAAACACCGGGAAACGTCCCGATAACTCGCGCGGAAGAGAAATATCTGGGCCGGCGTGACCGCGCTACACACGCGTCGGGCCATCGAGTGAGCGTCGAAAATGTTCAAAGCGTTTGTTACTCTACGTCGTAGCACCGTAGCGCTGTGTGCTACGAAACAAAATTGCTAGTTAATCCAATTGGCTTATTATTTTTATTGTAGTACTGTACTGTTGATTAAAATCAACTCTCTTGTTACAAACAGAAACTGATTTCCGAACCGCGCGGTGGTAACTTACTTAGCATCTTATGTTTGATTTTTTTATGTTAAACTCGGAGTTTCATAGGAACGCGCAAGCCTCTATTTGAATAAAGATATTTCGTATTATGAATTTTTTTTAGTCATATACTGAACAATATGCATTAGCAGCTGACTATTGTGGAGTAATCTGACGCCAATAGCGACATGGTATAAGTTCTACGCTATTATTCGATGTAGGTTCATCTTTGTATTAATACCAAGTTTACTCTTATTATCTATAATTTATCTGAACAATCAAGTTGGTTTTAAAGTTTTGTACCCATTCCATACGTCAAAAAGGTGTCAATACAGTACAGTTTTTTGTGCCATCTAGAACCACCGATTTCATAGCCCGAGTACACAAGTACTTATCGCTCGGCCGCGGTGACTAGAACACTGTTTACCGGAACATAATTTATGAGCCTGCCATCTTGGTGTCGTACTTTACATGAAATATAACTTAAAAATGCCACGAACTAGACTGCGAGTGTAAATCCCAGAGACGGGACAGCGCACCGTGCGACGACGTGCTGCAAGATCGTTTCTGATTTTCCGTATCCATGTTTACATAAAAAGTCTGAAATAAAAGTAGAAGCAGTCTTTTACAAATAAACAATGAATATTATTCAACTGATTATATCAGTAGGAGCTAGGTTCAACAAGTCCGTAAAAAACATAGCTTTCTGCGTCCTGTCACCAATAAAAATTCGGCAAAAAAGAATTATCTCAAATGAAAACCAAATTTTCAGCTAATTTACTATTTATAACATTGAAAGCGATTCTTTTTCATATTTGTTAAGTCTAACGTATTTCTTCCATTAGGTTCGGTCTTGGAGCATGAATCTCCTATTCACGTTTCAAGCTGCTTTCGATCTCTACCCAAGCTTCGTAAAGTAACGTATCAGCCTATACATGTCCCACTGCTGGGCAAAGGCCTCCTCTGTACAGAGGGTATCAGGGCATAGTCCATCACGCGGCCCCACTGCGGATTGGCAGACTTCACATATCTTCAAAATTTTTTTTTAGTTATTTTTACGAAAATATGCAGGTTTCCTCACAATGTTTTCCTTCACCGCTGAGCACGTGATAATTCAGCACTTAAAGTTGACAATTTCATTGGTGCTGGCACCGGGGATCGAACTCAGGTTGCTCGAGTATATTGAATTAAAGGCGAGCGCCCGGAGACTGAGCTATCACGGCTCCAAGCTTCGTAATCTGCCGCAAATTAAAACTTACAGAGAAGAATAGATACGATTTCGTTCGTCAATTAAGCCAGGCTATCCAGAGACATTCGTACGCCGAAATCCAATCGCCATAACTCAGTGCAACGCTGACGTTAGCGGAGTCTCGCGCGCGGGGTCGCTCGCGATACCGTAACGACGCCGCAGTTTGACAACGCATTCGTCGCTCCGACGCGGAGAGTTGCGGAAATTAGATGACGCGGCGACCGTGGAGCTAGTGCTGCCCCTTTGCGTCTATGTAGCGATGTACTGATTGATATTGCTGTACAGACAAACGTTGACATAAGAAATATTTAACGGGAAAGTAAGGGTGCCGATATAATTATTGGACGAAAACTGTGAGTCAAATTTTAAATATATGCATCATGTTTATGCACATTTGGTAGACAATATCACTCTGTCTCTCACAATAATCTCTCTTGTTATTTATTCTTCAATCAAATGTTGCTAGCTTACATTAACAAGAAAAGGTAAGGTCATTATATAGGTAAGGTCATTATATGGGTAAGATACATCTAGAATGCAATACGAACTCGAAACTCAAACTCAAGCGACTACGTGAAATAAAATATCCAATCATGCTTAATCGATATATATATATATATATATATATATATATATATATATATATATATGTGCTGATTTATCAGTGCTCACGTGCTCCGCGGTGAAGGAAAACATCGTGAGGAAACCTGCATATTTTCGAAATAATAACAAAATATATATATATAATTCGAAGATACGGTGAAGTTCACCAATCCGCAGCTGGGCCTTTTCTGTTGCGGTGGAATAAAAATAGCGGATTTCTTAAAAAATTAGGTTTCGAGTTATCGTTTATCGAGCGCGTCCCATCCCTAAGTGCCTAGCCGAGCTCAAGTCAGCAATTTTCCGGTGCTAAGGGTGATTTATTCCGTAACGCTCGTGTCGCATCACTGTTGCGAGCGCCCTCCACAATCAACACACCTGGAGGGTCTCTCCGCAGTGAATTCAAAACGAGTTATGAAAGCGCCCAATACTTCATCAATACACTATCGTGATTCATTCACTGATATCTCTTCTGATTAGTCGTTCTATTACATTTCCGCACCCAAAGGGTAAAAGGGGACCCTATTACTAAGACTTCGCTGTCTGTCTGTCTGTCCGTCTGTCACTAGGCTATATCCCATGAACCCTGATCGATAGACAGTTGAAATTTTCACAGATGATTTATTTCTGTTGCCGCTATAACAACGAATACTAAAAAACAGAATAAGACATATTTAAGCGGGGCTCCCATACAACAGACATTTTTTTGCCGTTTTTTATAGGTGAATGTTACAGAACCCTTCGTGCGCGAGTTTGACTCGCACTTGGCCGGTGTTTCATTCGTATTTACGGTATATTTTCTCATGTCTTCAGCTACTACCGTTGCACGATAGGGCTCTTCTGGGGTAATACACAGGCTCACAGAATACCGGAATGAAGTGCAAGTATCATCATAATTTCGTATTTCGTTTAGTGAGTGAGGTCGCCAGGACCCCATTTTTTAAGCGTCGGCAACGCAACTGAAACCTTTTATGTGTTATAGACGTCAATGGGCGGCGGTAATAACTTAACATCAGGTGAACCGCGTGCTCACTTGCCATATTTTCACACGAAAGATAGTTATAAAGTTTTAGTGATCTTTCTAGCGTTATTATCACTTGAACAGTAGTAAAATACATACGCGTAATTTGTTAACAAAATATTTTAAGAGTCTTATCTCTTCTCTCACTAAACTTTTATTAGTTAAATAACTGTAAGTTTGATGTGGTTTCACACATTAGGCCTGACAAAATTTTGATGTAAATGAATCCGCCCTCCTCGCGATGTACCGTAGAGGTTCTAAGAAACTGGACCCAAATCCAAAACAACGGCCCGAATAGATCATTCATAATTTAAAGCGCAAACTGTGACGCTGAATTGATACAATGGAAAAGGCAAAGAATCATTTATGCGGAGATAGAAGACGGTATTAGCATAAGCGGGCCTTTGCATAATTCGCGGCCGACGCCGGGTGGAGACCGATGCTGCGGACCCTTTCGCCGCCAGGGATTCGCTGTTGGCTGTTTAATTCATTATAATAATATTGATTAGTGTACAGCCGGGTTCACGGTGGGTGGAATGCAGTCGCCACTAACTGGCGTAGGGAACACTCAAAGGTTGTGTTAAGATTAAATCTTTAAGTTGTTTTGTATAGCGCAGCTGTTGTTCGTCATTACCCTACGGAAGTGTAATTTTTTGAATGTGAAAAACTGGCAAACGAGCTGGTTGGTTCAACCCATATTAAGTAATAACCGCCGCCCATGGACATTTGCTACACCCGTAGGGTTTCAAATGCGTTGCTAAATAAAGCGGACCCCGGACACCTCAACCACCAGACGAAACGTAGAAGAGTAACACTTCTACTTTACACCTGTCTTCTGTGAGGTCGTGGTACTTATCCGGACGGATCTGCCCATTCTTGCAACAGTGAAAACTGTTACGTGACTCTGCCACAATTGGTGTAACTACACAGATGAATACACATCTAATTGATGATTTCACTATCTGTTTATATCGGTTTAATGATGTAGTCAAGCTTTATTTATAACATACGAAAATGTTTTCGTTTAGTAGGGGTAGTGGAAAAATATTTAATGAAATAATGAAATGTCCAAATTTATTGTCACAGTAAAATCAGCGTTCTGAAAAGAATGCCTAGTCACAATATTTTTGGCATTTTTTGGCATTTTTGGCCTTCATGTCGAAAGAGGTAAGGTCACTAATACGGAGGGCATAGACTTATTTATGCCCGTTAACATAAGGACCCTCTCTGAGGCTGAAACATACCGATACCTGGGTATGTCACACGATGAGGCTGGCATGAAACAGTCAGTTCGTGATGTGTTTTTTGCACGCCTGACAAAGGTGTTTAACAGCCATTTGTCAGGCGTGAACAAGGCACGCGCATTTAACGGCTGGGTCATGCCAGTCCTCATGTATACCTTTGGCATACTCAGGTGGACTCAAACTGAGCTCAATGCCCTGGACCGAAAAGTCCGCACAACTATGACGTCCCACAGGATGCATCATCCGAGATCGTCAGTGATGAGGCTGTACCTGCCGCGGAAGCATGGCGGGAGGGGCTTTTTGAGCGCCCTTACCATGCACAATCGCGAAGTGTACAGCCTCCGCAACTACTTCCTTATTTTCCTTCGAGATCGGATGAGTCAATCTACACGGACGTCATTAGTTGTGATAAAGGACTTACCCCTCTGTCCTTAGCCAACGAGCAATGGCAGGACCCGGGAGTACTGAGCGTTTCCGACCGGGAGGCCGTATGGAAGGAGAAAGAGCTCCACGGGAAGTTCTACAAGGCCCTACACGAGCCTTTCGTAGATACTTCTGCCTCCCTCAACTGGCTACGTTTCGGTGACCTCTTTGGGGAAACCGAAGATTTGTCTGTGCGATACAGGATCAGGTTATTAAGACGAACAACTATCGGAAATACATCCTAAAGGATGGCACCGTCGACATCTGTCGAGCTTGTCGCCATCCCGGGGAGTCGCTTCGGCATGTTATTTCCGGTTGTTCCATGCTTTCTAACTCTGAGTATCTGCATAGACACAACCTACTAGCCAGCATCCTACACCAGGAGCTCGCTCTGAAATACGGTATCGTGGATCGGAAACTGCTGTACTATAAGTACTCTCCGGAGGCCGTGCTCGAAAATGACCGCGCCAGGCTCTATTGGGACCGGCCCATCATCACGGACAGGACGATTGTCGCGAACAAACCTGACATCGTGGTGATGGACTGGGCACAGTCGTGGGTATTTTTGGTCGACATTACCATTCCATATGACGAGAACCTCGTGAAAGCCGAAACAGATAAGAAGACAAAGTATCTGGACCTGGCTCACGAGGTGACCGACATGTGGGGGGGGTGTGCCGGCCGAAATTATCCCGATAGTCGTGTCTGCGAATGGGTTAATCCCAGTCAGCCTCTCCAAGCATCTGAGGCGACTGGGACTCCGGGACGGATCGCTCCAAGCTCAAATACAGAAAGCGGTGCTCCTCGATACCGCCCGCATCGTCCGCCGGTTTCTCTCCCTATCGCCCTAACCCTCGGCCGTTTGGTCTCCCCTGCCGAGGGCTTCCGTCTGGTTGGGTCCTATTTATATATGTATTATATAAAATATTTTTATAAGTATGTTTATTTTTATCCATAATATTTATTTTATATATGCAATATGTATCTATATTTTTATTTATAAACCCAACCAGACGAGGAAACAAATGAATATCCCCCCATAATAATAATAATAAAACATCTTTATTCACATAGACGCTTGCGCATTCTTATGAAACGTCAAATTTTTACAAGAAATTAACACGTTCGTAAGTTACCACCGGTTCGGAAAGCAGTTTCTGTTGAGAAGAAACCGGCAAGAAACTCAACAGTTGCTCTTTTTTAAAAAATCAGTTTACAATATAATAGTACAGGTACAATAGTCTTGTTTTAGCCTACGTGAGTATCAACAGTATTAACCCCACACATTGGCGTCGTCAAGATATTCGGCAATAGTATAATAGGCTTTAGCCATAAGTTTACTTTTAATTTTTCGTTTAAATTCATCAAGTGGCACACTTAATATCGACGGTGGGATTTTATTATACATGCGCACACTTGGCCCCATGAACGACCTGCTTACTTTTTGTAGACGAAATAATGGCGTAGTTAGTTTGTCCTTATTTCTAGTATTTAGTTTATGTCTGTCACTATTCTTTTGATAATTATTAATATTCTGTTTAACATACAAAATATTACATTAAACATATTGAGACGCAACAGTGAGTATATTAATCTCTTTAAAAGAAGATCTCTGAGTGTATTCCGGGCTCCGATGTTATAAATTGCTCGGACAGCCCTTTTTTGATTAATAAATATTGAATTTATATCAGATGCACTACCCCACAACAAAATGCCGTACGACAAGATGATGTGAAAATAACTGTAGTAAACAAGTCTGGCAGTGTCGATGTCTGATAGCTGCCTAACCTTCCTAATTGCAAAAAACAGCGGAGCTTAACCTATTCGCAAGAGATGATAGATGGGGACTCCATTGGAGCTTTGAATCTACTGTGATTCCCAAGAATACAGCGGACTCAACAGGATTAAGGGTTACGCTATTCAATTTTAAGCTAAAACTTCGCCTTCTTACGTTGGGAAGGGCAAAAAGAAGGCATTTGGTTTTTTTAGCATTTAACACCATATTATTAATGGTAAACCAGTGGAGGATACGCGAAAGTGCACTATTCACGTCGTCTTTATTCGATACATTTCGGTCAACCTTAAAAATAAGCGATGTGTCGTCAGCAAACAGTACAACATCACATAACTCACTGGCATATAAGGGGAGATCATTTATATATACTAAGAATAATAATGGGCCCGAGATTGATCCTTGTGGGACACCCATTTTCATGGGGGACCCTGCGGAATTTACATCATTTATAGATACTTTTTGATTTCTATTACTAAATTAAGAGGCAATGAGATTGAGGGCGATGTTACGAATGCCATAATAATCAAGCTTTAGAAGGAGGGTTTTGTGATCCACGCAGTCGAAAGCTTTTGAAAGATCGCAAAAAAACACCTATTGCATCTTGCGACCCTTCCCAGGCGTTATAAATATGTTTGACAAGTGCGATACCCGCATCTGTTGTCGATCTGCCTTTAGTGAATCCATATTGCTCATTGTGAAAAATTTTGTTCATATTAAAATGTACTAAGAGCTGATTTAAAATTAGTTTTTCAAAAATTTTACTCAGAGATGGCAATATGGAGATAGGTCTGTAGTTTCCTGGATCATTTTTATCCCCACTTTTGAAGACGGGGATTATCTTACTAAATTTCATAAGATCTGCAAATATTCCAGAATCTATGCAGTTGTTAAAAATATTAGCTAAATGTGGTGCAATATATGGCATTATTGTGCTCATTAATTTTATGGACATGCCCCATAAATCCTCTGTATTCTTAAGATTAATAGAATTCAAAACTTTTATAATGTCATAAGTATCTACATGATTAAATTTAAATGTGTGTGGACAAAAGGTAACATTATTTCTTAAAACGTTAATTGCATCTATGGGAGATGATTTTAATGTACATGTGACATTAACTGCAATTTCTGAAAAATAGCTTTCAAAACTACTTGCAATTTCATTATCCGTTGTTATGGGAGTATTACCTATAACCAGTTTTATAGGTTCCCTTTAATTCTTGGGTCTTCCAGATATACGCGTAATGATGTCCCATGTGGCTTTAATTTTATTGTTTGAATTTATTATTCTATTTCTTATACGAATAGATTTTGCCTGAATACAGACTTTTTTAAATATTTTGGAGAACATTTGTACCCTTTTATGAAAGTTGGGGTCATGATTCCACTGCCTCATATTATATAATTCATACAGTGAATCCCTACTTTTATATATACCCACTGTTGCCCAGTCACTAAATTTTAATTTTGAATTTTTTAACAATTGTGCGCGATTTAAATGTATCATTATAAGAAGATATGAGAAAGTCAACCATTGATTTATAAGAATCATTAGGGTTATTGAGGTTATTCTATATATTTATTTAACATACGATGTGCCACTTTGTCTTTAAAAGAATTTATTCTATTAGTAGTGACTGGTCTACACTTGATCTTATGTTTGCTTGTAATAACTTTTTCATTTATTGAAAATTTTAAATCAAAGTCGTCAGAGCTCAGATAATTTATAACATATTTATCATATACATTATCGTGGCAGAAAACGTTATCTATACATGTGGAGGATGAGTTAGTGACACGAGTTGGTTCATGAAAAATATTATTAAGTTTAAATGAAATAATAAATTTAAAAGTCGTTTACTAAGATGTGTCACTTGTTATAAATCCACATTAAAATCTCCACAAACTACTACTGATTTACTACTTGAACAGAGTTTTTTAAGTACATCATCCATTACACACTCAAACAGATTGAAATCACCTGAGGGGGGTCGATACACGCATACTATAATATACTGTTGACTCTCAACGCAGGATAATTCTATAGAATGTTCGACAGAGTGTGCTACTATATCCTGTCGATTTTTACAGACTATATCAGTTCTTACTAACACAAGAGAGCCCCCGCGAATAGCATTTGCTCTTACGAACGAACTTAACAATTTATAGTTCTCTATATCTATAATATTAAAATGCTTATGTAACCATGTCTCTGTGAAGCAGATGACATGGATGTTAAATCTTCTAAGAAACAAGCTCAATTTCAGGTTCTTTGCCACCTATGCCTTATATATTTTGGTGTACAATATTTAATTTAAGTGGCTTAGGTGTTGTCTCAATGTTTAGTTTAAACTAACATTGTTTTTTGTAAAATGATTGCTAAGTAAAATGTTGTTAGTTGTACAATGTACAACTGGGTTTTGTATATTATATGCTACTAAAGTAGCAATTGTTTTCTTATAATATAATGGCAAATACCAAGTATTTTTTGTCACCTTAAAACTAGACTTAATAAAACTATTTATGTCAAAATAAAAGAAAGACGCTATGACGGTGAGTTGTATTATATATAGTCATGTTAAGACTATATATGTCTTTATTTTGTTCCTCTGTAAGGAAGGAGGAATATGGAAATGCGCATATTATAAATTTACATTGGTCTTGTATTGTAAGCCCAGTAATATTTCCATATTATTGATAATTTCCTGTTTCCTAACAGATGAACTATCCCCATGAAGTAGTACAATAGTACTATTTTCATTTACATTCAATGTCAAGATTTTATTTATATTTTTCTGGAAACTGGCACCCGGTGAACATATATTGTATACATTATTTATATGTTTTGAAATTAGCGAAGCAAAACCTTGCCCTATGTTATCTGATACAATTGTAACATTTTGTTTAGTATAATATATTTCATTTTCATTGTTATTATATGACGGTTGATTGTATTCATGTATGACCAAGTCACTTCCTATGTCCTTAGGTATATTCTGAGTTTTTAATTTGTTTGGTGATTTGGAGCAACAACATGTATTTTTACTTGTAAATGATTCAAATCTATTATAATTATAATTACAAAGATCTAGTAAATTATCAGCTGCTAATATGTGTTCTTGTATTTGTTTTGAGATGATTCATATTTAGCAGTCAATGTTTGTAGTGTGATATTTAAATTATTAATTTCAGTCTGGAGCTGAAGTGTTTCTTGGTCATACTTAAACCTATTTTGATCTAGTTTATTTTTATATGATTTTACTTTATTAAATAATTTTATCTGCTCATTTTTCATTTCATAAATTTGTTTGTATGTGTATTTATTTTTTAATAATTTATTCGTTTTCGTAATAAATCTTTTAATTTTGATGTATTTCTTAAGTTTATTTTGTGTACATAGGCGAGATTGCTGGATGCAAGAGTCATCTTTTTTCAAGTCTATAAACATTTGAGGATTACATTCCACCAGCTCAGCATACAGATTTTGGGTTTGGTTTGCGTCACGAGATGTATTAATTTGTTCTAATTCAAGGATGGAGTTATTTGCCTCCTTTAAATTAATTTCAAGTTCCGCGATTTTATTTAAGGCCCTCTCATGCTCATTGCTGCACTGGTTGAATGCACTCACAATTTCGTTTAGTTTGTCCCGCTGTGCAACTACATCCAAAAAACTTTTATGAAGTTCAGCGAGTTCACATTTTAATTCAGTGTTTTTTCTTACAATGACCTGAATTTCCTCCTCACTTTCTTCACACTCTTGCATCAGCTGTTTGCAAAGGTCTTGTGATGTTTTAAGTTCTTGTAATGTGTTTCTTAATTTATTTTCAAGATCCTTTGCAGCTGCTTTGCGGGTGAGCATTACTTTATCCATTGCTAATATTCTGTAACAGTTATAGAGAGGAAACTGAGATAATGAGGATGGGGAGAAAATTAAAATTAGAAAATAATTTAAAGAAGATTAAAATTTTAATATTAATAATTAAGCTATAGAGAAGAGATACAAGAAATTTAACAAAATTTAGCAAGGAGATTATATCTTTATTAATGAATTTA